GTTTTTGGACGTAGTGCTCGAGGCAGATTTTCGTACATACCGTTTATGGCGAAACGCGTGATTTTTCAAGGGCTGAACGTACATGAAATTAGATATGAAGGATGTTTACATGCATGAATTTCTCGCATGTATTTATCCGCTGAGAAACGAACTCGAGAAAAGAATTCTCATAAGAAACGGTTACTGCGCATAAGCTGCGTAAAGTTTATAACATTTTCGAGTGCAGTAGGTTTAAACCCAACCCAATTTGGACGTTAAATCGAGTTTATGATGTCGATGTCGACATCACATGTTCTATTTTGGTTTTTAATTGGACGAGATCATGGTAGTTTCAGGTTGATGGATCATGTACTTAGGTTGGGTTCAAACTTACTGAACTCGAAAACGTTATTTTCAAGACGGTATTAATATTTGACGGTTTATTCCTCCTAAGTGTTAAGAGTCACATGTACGAGTTTACGTGCGCTTGCCTGTTATTGCTACGCAATAGTTTTATTTCGATTGTAAAACGCACGCAAATGGACAATGAAATACATCCTTGGACTTCGGAAAAAGTCTCGATGCTCAGTCGAGAGTTTTATTTCATGAGAGTGACTTTCGGTAGCAATTTGTTAACTTATTTACTGAGAACGATCTGAATGACAAGAACTCTCGAGTGTGCACACAGCCAAACGTGTCTGCCAAATACAGATCCGATTGTATTTACGATTGTATCCGCTTTCTATTGATCTTTTTTATAGTTCTTTTTTAACGTAGCACACCAATGCATTTAATACCTGCGTTTTCATACGTGTAAGTTGTTTTACGCATGGATAATATATCGACTTAAATATCCTGCGAAAACGCAGTGAATACCTCGCACAAACTTGTGTTATTTTTATTTCGGCAGTCGCTGTATGTTGAATTACGACGCTCTGTCGCGAAGTAGCCATTGGTTTTAAGAGAGAAAAAACAAGGGTATAAAAATTAGGATAAATGAGGCGAGAAAGTTATTGATATCCGGATAAGTGCGAATGCGTGAATGCGTTTCGGAGCAAAAAGGAAAGAGAAAAGAAAAATATTCCGAAACTCGTGTTCGTGCTGTAAATCGACGGTGGGTTTCACGTCGGGGTAAATCGGAAATGCACTTTCGGATAAACTTAAGTCATCGATGTTACTCGTACAAAGTGTCTGAAAAATTGTAAATTTTTCTACTTAAGAAGAAAGGAAATACAAACGACGGATTAGAGTAGAGATTACTTATACGAAGCGTGACAGTCTCGTGGCGGATTGGCGTCTTTGCTCTCTTCGCGGTGTTCGAAAAAGGTATTCTCATAAATCGCCTTCGATTCTCCAGAATTCAACGTCGTCCGCGCGAGACACGTTATGCACGCGAGATTCGAAAAGTCGATTGCACCAACGTCGGTTAAAGCCCCAGCTCTGGTTACCGTAATATCTTTCTGAATACTCTTTAATTTTTTAATCAATCAACATTTAACCTTTTACAAAAGGTAAAAGTAAGAAATATAGAAGTACATGAAACAAATCTTAATTAACATTGTAACAAAAGATAAGTGTTTTATTGCTAAATGCATCAAGCTATGCATCACTTTGACAATAAAGTGCTTATTGAGCGAATAGAAGCTTTATTATTAGGAGAAAAATCTTAATTTGTGTTGTCATCTTTGCTTCTCGAGCTACATTGTGAGTAGACTGAATAGATAATCTGAAAAGAATGGCGAATAGTTAACTGAAATTACTCAACCCTGATTATTGATGCAATCAGCTGAGTCAGACAATCTGTGTTGATTGGTTAACAGAGACGATTTTTTTTCCTTTATTTAAGTTAAAATAGAAATAACGATTTGAAATATTTAATTGGTAATTAAAGTGAGTAAGACAAAAATAATACAAAGAAAAAATATCATTATGACATTTAAAATGTTTTGCATCTCGTTATAAATATGTGTTAACCAATTCTTTCTTTCCTATCTCTTTCCACAGCATAATAGAAACTGATTTATAAAGAAACAAAAAATTTGCCAGAGTCGACTAACAAGATTGTGGGTGCAATCGATTTTGAATGTATACATTTTACTGTGTCACGATAAACGCGATGAGCCATTACGATAGATATTAGTGATTAAAGTGAAAACAAAATGTGAGTGCGTTGCACGCATGCGAGCGTAAAAAATTGTTACATCCGTGTCAGCGTGATCCTCTTTTCATGTGTATTTTACTGCGAGAGAGCATTATGAGCAATAACGCGGTAAACCCATAACATATACACGAATTACTGTATAAATTTAAACATGCTGCAATATCAATCTCATATCTTCAAGTAGAATGTAACAAAAGAAATGGTATAACATCGAGTATCATCTTATTAAAAAAATTAAATAAAGAATAACTATTATTAGTGACTATGTCGTTTAGATAGTCTAAGTGATAGTCATGATATTAATAATTTATAATATGATATTAATTATATTAATTAACTAATTATATTAATTATTAGCAATAGATTTATTATTTTATGCAAGTATATTGAAATAATTGCGATATAGCCAAAGAAATCTAAATGATATCGAAATGTTTTCCGATCGTCCCTTTTGTGAATAAATTATAACAATTTGTAAAATATTGACGTATAAATATCTGACACATTAGCTATTGTCTGGCTATTATGATAGCCACATGACTGGAAAATGTTTTTTTTTTTTTAATTAGTCTTTGTATCGAGTCTCTTGAACTCCTACATTGTTTGGATAGGTTTTGATATTGCGGCAAGTCCTTATTTCATGTAGATCCTAGAATCCATAAGAGAAATTCTCACCGTGATGTTTACACGGTACGTAGTAATTTCCAATAAAATTAAAGCGACATCGCATGGAAGAGTGCGCGTGAAAAGGCGTTCACGTTTACGTAGCGTTAGAGAGTAGGTGTATTACGTCCAGTACATTTTTTCTATGAGCGTTTTATACCGATGATAAACTTGTTTTCTCACGATAAACGATCACTTGGAAATTTCGCTGATGATGATAATTATCATGATCGCTGCCGTAGGTCGTAGATTTATATAAAAAAAAGACATAGAGGGTTTGAACGTTTGAACTAATGCGAGCTCAACAGGAATGATCTAATTAACAGAAAAGTTCCAATAACACTGTAAGGATATCTAATGGGGAAGGCTGAATAATTGAAGAATTAAAACGCCTTTTAGACATACTTCAGGTGTTTTTCGAACTTTCATGAAAAGAAAATGATGATTTTCAACGACGCAAAGCGTTCGCGTTGTATGGTATATATATTCGCGTAGACTGTTTCATTCGGATCACATTTGGACCATGTATTTACAAATTATTATGGTAAAGGCATCGTGGCCTTTTTCCAGTGGATATAGAGACTGATATTGTTTTTTAAATAAAGCCCATGTGTTACCGGGAATTTTACGTCCGACCATTTGCAAAATCTCGAAATAAATTTTTTCTAAATCCGATAGCTCTATAATATATGCTTCATCGATCGCATACAATTGTACATAATATTTTGACTGATCGAGCAAAGTAAGTAGACACGCGAGCATTAAAATTATTTATACAGGTGAGAAAGACGTAATCTTTAAATATCAAATTTGTAAATTTCTATTAATTTGAAAATAAGCATTTTTTTTTAATCTTTGGTGTGATCATCTATAATTAATCTTCGCACGAGAGATTTTTTGATAACGTGATTGTGCGTGTCGGGAATTTACTCGAGAAATACCTCGGACGTATCGTTCCCGCGTCTTTTATTTGCAAATGTTTGCGATATTTAAATTATACGGAGACCTAAGAAAAGGCGAGATCAGCGGTATATGCATATTGTACTTAAATGAAAATTATGATCTTAATTAATCGTGGATTCCATGATGCCTTTTTCGGAGACAGTATGTTCGTTCGTGGTCACTCAGTTAAATTTTTGGTAATCTGTGATATAGGGACAGATCCCCTCTTTCTCTATCTCTTTCTCTTTCACGCGTTTTGATACAAAAGATCGACTGTCGTCTCACGGCGACCACGAGAACACCGTGTCACTAAAGGAGGACAATGATTATCCACGATTATCGTATTGATATAATTGTTTACAGAACAAAGTCGTCTCACGTGATGCGCACACCAAAAATATTTTCTCGTATACCCGGCATTCTTACGTTCGAATTATCTTCACATCGTACATCATCGCGCGTCAACGTGCGTTCTCATTCATATTGTACCTAAAGCGAAAACGATCAATACACTGTTGTCATTGTTTATATACCAAAGCTTATTATCATTAAGTAACTTAACGATTACTTTGTGTTATTATTATATTGTCGTAAGCCTATGCAGATAAATATATTATGTATCATATTAATGTTGCACCTTTATTAGCACTCTATATAAGAATTTTCTTTGTTCGATTAGGACGGAAATTTTAATTTGTTCTTTAAGTAACTAGTCAAGCGTATACAAAAGTGCGTAAATGCACATATAAAAATAGATTGTATAGGTGCATTTATACTCCGAATTTAATTCATATAATTTATTCTAAAACCAATTATTCATCTCTTGTAATACAAAAGTTTCTTTTAAATACAGATAATATAATATATTCCATTTTCCCTTTTATACATTAAAGAAATCAAATATCGTGTGCAAAGATGATGTAAAAAAAAAGGATAAAATGCAAAAGAAAGTACGATCTCGCTACATTTTTCTGAATATTTATACAAAATAGTTTAACAATTCGGAACTATACACAGTTAGAGCGAGAATAATGTTTCTGTCGATGCGTTATTAGTATTTTTAAAAAATAATTTAGGAAATTAAATTAGACACATAAACAAAGAGATGCAGTAAGCAGGCTGTCTGATAACTAGTATCTGAAATATCTTTGAATCTATAAGGTCTAGAAAAAAATTTGTAGAACCAAAATTGCATGGTATAAAGGGGACTATCATATGGCGATAATAATTTTTATTCAGATAGAGGCGCTTCGGAGATATCAAGATTAATTTCTATTCCCCTAATTCTTCATTAAAAGTATCAACATAATGATAATCATACATTAAAATAACGGTAATCATATTATCTCCACCTACATAAAAATTATTATCGCCATATGATAGCCCTCTTAACCCGTGCAATTTTGGTTATACAAATTTTTCTCTAGACTTTATAGATTCAAAGATATTTCAGAGAAGTTAATAGTTATTGGGACATCCTGTATAGAGTAAAATGCACAACCTTGTGCACACAAAAAATCAGCATCCGGTGTATGCATAAATCAAGATACTTTACAATAATTAAGTGTACATCATCTCTGCCATATGTGACATCTTCTTTGGAATATGAACGAACTCTTCGAAGTAGCCAGCGAGTTCGCCGATCGTGATGTCGCTTGATAAGGGCGGCGATATTCGTGCCTGAACTGAACAGGTGTTCGGTGAACTCGATAATTGTTGTTGGCCAGATGAACTGCCACTAGCATCAGATTGTCCGTTGCCTGTTGTCGTTCGCTGATCTCCGCCACCTGGACCAGGACCTCTCTTTAAGTTCGGCATTGTGTTACTACGAGCTCGATGGAAACCGCCTGCACCCTCGCAGTCGTCATCCTGAATACTAGTGTCGTCCTTGACCTGCCTATTGTCTTTACTGATTTTCAGCGCCTTGAAGTCCTTCATGACCGAATTGTGGTCGATCATCTTGGAATTTTTACTGGGAATACCGAGCTTACACGTGTTCTTAAACAGCGTATCCACTGGGTTATCACTAGGACCGCTAGTTCCAGAAGCGTTTAACTTTAAAATGGCGTCCCTTAGGATGATGACGCTCTTCTTGGTCTTCTCGATTGTTCTCTCGTTTTTAGACGGCTTAAAATTCGTTGTACTCTTAATACCTCTTGGGTTGACTGAGAACATGGTAGGCCTGTTAGTCATTGATCTTCTTCGAAATAAACAGTTGCTGCTGGAATCTTTGTGTACCTTGAATAAATTCATCGGCTTCGATTTGTCTGCCATTGCAATGCTGAAAGAACAAACAATTATTTTATTAAAAAGTAATTATATTATTAATGTATGTAAATATATTAGATCAGTGCAAAAGTTCGTGGCCGATTTATTATTAATTTTGAATAATAAATCGGGCACAATTTTTTGCTTTGATCTAATAAAATGTGTTAAAATGTCATGTCTGTAATTTTTGCATCTTAATTAAAACAATTCTTTCTTTTGGATATGTTTCTGACATATACAATGCGCAGAATATTTTAAAGTACATTATAATAAAAATTAAAAAATATATTATATATGGAAGCTTTACAATATTATAAGCAGAAATCTGTGAAAACATACAAGTTTTATCCAATCGTGCTAACCACAGTTTGTGGTTAATAACATTATTACATTCACAAGCCTCTCAAAAAGTTCATTTACCAATTATACCCTCCGGCTTGCGGGATTTATCTCTCCTAAATCTACTATTCGATGCTGTACTAAGTTGTTATTTCCAGCATCACAGGTTTAAAAATAGAGCGTCTAAATGTTTCTCCCGATAGAATCGAGCCGAACTTCACTCGACTTCATCCGTCGACGAATCGAGAATCTGATCGCGCAATCGACGATTTCTGACGGACGACGAAACACATGCATTGTAAATACATACCGCCGTGTTACTAGCCGACCTTGACCGCGATTACGACAAATACACAGCCACGAAGCGTTTAGATAACTCGATTGGCCAAAAGGAGATACGACGATTGACAAATCACATCTTTGTTGTCACCGATATTTACTCGTCACAATCGCAACCTATATCCTTGCAATTAAAACATTTGATACTTTAGAAGTAAACGTCGTTGACTAAATCTCAGTAAGTGCCATATTCATTTGATAAGTTTCATTCTACACACTATAATGCGTTTAATACTGTAAATGCAGCGTTGAATTAAACTCTGATAATTTCTCAAGTCGCAACATTAACATTGTCTTATTAATATTTTTAAATCTTTTTAAAATTAAGTTCGTTAATTGTTGTCTGAGCATTCATGAACAATAGTTTATGTCTTATTCTTATCTTATCTAAAATAATTGTTACTTAATAGGTCTGTTTTTATTCCTGCACTTCTCTAGAGATTAGTGCACATGATGCAATAGGTTGAAATAAAATAAATGTTTGTTCGCTTCAACTTATTACATTGTGCACACCACTGTCTACAGAGAGTATAAGAATAAGAAACAGACCTATTACTACATTTCGCAACAAAACTGCTCTTGTTTTCACCAAATTTTAATGTATTCCTATTTTATATTAACTCTCGAATGCTATTGAATGATTAAGTATTGCTATCGATATATAAATTTTACGTACACAAAAAAATAGACCACTCTTAATTAATGTAACATATAAGCTTTTCATACACTTCACAACTTTAATGACACAATTTTAAATATTTATACTTAAAACTTTTGTATAAATACAAATAATTTAATTAACTTAAAAGGAGAGAAAGAACAACATTATCAATTTTGAAATGTTATGGAATTCAATCTTGAAATGATATGGAATATGTAGTTCAATGTTGTGTGTGTTGTTTCCTTATATATTTAATAAAAGATATATAAAACACAAAACAACAACACAGAACTATTTAAAAATGAAATCACTTATCATGTTTTCTGTTATAATACTAAGGTCTAAACTGATTTATAATAGACAGAATTTTGGAAAGAGCTTATCTCTGTTTGTCCCAGCTTTTAGCATACATAGAAGATTGTAACTCCTAACAGATGTATTTATGTTGTTTGTACTTTTCGCACTCCGTATCTTCTGCTTTTTCTCTTTTCAACATCCAAATATATATTTAGTTTGCTTTATGTATTAAAATTCTAAAGGCTTCAAGCAACACAAACAAAATTAATAATAACTAAAGATCAATGAAGTCATATCTCACAATTAGTGCTCCATGACCTTGCTCACTTGTATGTAAATTCATATATTGACAGTATTTTAAAGCGAAGTGTAAAAAGTGTACACTAGTTCAATTAAAAACATATACATTTAGTTAATTTTCTTAATAATCAATCCGAGTAAAAATTTATCTAAAATACATAGTCATGTTGCTGTCACTCTAACATTACAAAGGAATTTAATTGACAAATTTTCGCGTATGATACAATTGTCACAAGTCATGGATGGTGAAGCTGCAATAATTGCACGGTCACTGTCAAAAATCACCAACGTCTTCGTATTAGTCGCAGGTATCGCAGAATCATCAATTCACGACGTCAAAAAGGGACGGTTTGAATCAATCTAAAACCTACGCCATTGTCACAAAGTTTGACAGAGGCATTTAAAAATTAAATACCCGTCAACGTACCGCTTCGTAGGGCATGAAAGCACGAAAATCGTCCTCGACCTTGGAAGAGCGCGTCCCTTCTGGGCGTTGTGTTGACGTGTTTATTTACGCATTTTGACGCAATCGAGATCGAGTGCGAGACAGCGATGCTTACTGAGGACAACTCGTTGAACGACGATCAATTTCAAGCCTCTGCAGACTAGCCGGCAGTACGTCGTCTTCGTCGCCCATACTCGTCGAGGTTACTGGTAGCGATGACGCAGCATCAGGCCGACGGACGGGTGCGCCGTGCGCGCGAGGGTTCAGAAAGAAGCGCAGCGGACCTCGGCTAGGTTAGACCTGTGCAGTCGACAACGATGACGACATAAGATGCGATCGTGCGACGACGATGATGTACGTGGATGACAGATCGCTCAGCGGCTCTCTGATGAGTGATTCTCTACCTCCGTTACTTCCACTTGGGCCTCCTGTACCTTCTCGCGGTCTTCTTTCGCCCTTCAATTAGCGTATACAAAACCACCTCGTAAACGACTTGGCGTCGATGTGAGAAAACAACGCAATCCTCGCGTAGCACTAGACTGTCTCGATTTTGCACAGACAGATCAATCAGTTTAACGTCGCGATGGATAACGTAAATAAACACTGCTACTGCGCGGGACCAAGGACCAGCGGCAACTATCCGCGAAAGAAAGCTCTCCAGGGGGCGCCACCTTCGAAGCTCGCAACGCCATTGCTAGAACTGTCGCTAGGACTGGAAATTATAAAGAAGAATGTTGGCTTCTCTGTTTACTTTGGCGCCTATTTTTCGCTACTCACATCAGTAAGTACATACACACTCATGTTTTCAGTCACACATACACGGTCCGAAACATGGCGCTGACCAATCCCGAGGAGAATCGCTCATTCTACGGAATTGTCGCCACGAGCGCCACCCGATTGTCCACGACGCTAATTGGCCAATTCGACACGGAAGCTTTTGACCGGTTGACCCAGTGGAAAAGTTTCAAGCATCGATTACTTTAAATAGTTGTGCCCAATTAATAACGTGTTTCATTTCACTCAGGATTCTCCTTTCGCCAATATATTTTGCTTGAGAGACAGCTACGAGAATCTTGGATTTTTGGAAAGTTTAGAAAAGTCATTTTCCATCTTGGAACAAGAAACAATGGCAGAGAAGATGAATGGAACAAGTTTCGATCGAATCAATTGTTAAAAGTAAGTTATGAGTTATGAGTAAGATTTACGACGCGAGATCGGGGCACTCGTTTGTGTTAAAATTCGGCGAGAAAGAGACTTCATAACGATTAAATCTAATTATTATCCTTTTATTTTAATTATAAGACTTTTATTTTAATATTAAATAACGAAAAATATTCTTATCTCTCATTCTTGATTTATACAAATTCTGTGAATTGTATTTTTTTCTATAAATTTTTACAACCGGCAGTGCGCGCAAGTTTTAACATGCGTATACCACACTACAATATCCCAAACAGCACAATATTTATAAAATTTATTTTAAATATTTTTTGATCTCAGATTGCATCGATCATAAACATTTATTATAAAAATTAATAATAATATTTTGGCTCGTTACACTAATTTAATTTTTATATATTATTGTCGAGCCTTCTGTCAATATTATTAATTTTATTATAAATATTACGAAACTTTATTGTAAATGTTATAGTAAATGCTATGAAAATACTCCATAAGTCATCATAATTCAAAAATACTAGAAATATTTATATTTATCATAAATATTACATAAAATATTCAGTCTATATTTTAATATTTTGAATAAAACTTTACATAAAATACGTTTAAAATATTTATATAACATTTTAAAAATGAATAATATAATTATTTATTATAAATATTCTGTGCTGTCTGGAATCATGAACTTTTTAACGATCTGATCTGATGATACCATATTTTATACAAATCCATATTTCTGTATTTTATTTTTAACACAAATAATATTGCGGCAATAACTATTGTGGTTAATACCTGATATTTGGCGTGAGAAGGAAATTATATTCCACATTGCAATTTAATTCGCTGTTTTTTTCATTAAAGATAAAAATAGTTTGCGAGATTCTTTTCATTTAACTTTTTAAAAAAACGCTAATTGTATAGTATTACTGACTGAAATAACAACAGTCACAGTATTTTTATTTTTTGTATTCCTTTCTTTTGGAATAGAGATAGGAATCTAAGAATCTGAATGATCTAAAGAAGAAATCTTAAAAAGAGAGACCGTTAAGTAACTTGACAGTTTTAGAATGACACTTGAGAAAAGCAATTCTAATCGGGAGAGTCCGCGTATAAATCTATGTATAAAATTCCATGATTTTCGTGGGCGAGCCTCGCTACGTGCTGACGCACTCTCAGCCTAGTTTTATTTTAGCATACGGCTGTAATATTTACGAATTCCCGCTGCTGGAGAGCATTGAGCGAGAGAAAACGGCTGGTCTCACCTTTATTTATCGTTAAAAGCGTATATTCCATCGCGAAATTGTTTCCAATACTTGTCGTATAGACACGTGATATCACTGGCACTTACGTGAATTGAAATACTTTGTTAGGTATTTGCAATGAAATTTTGATATTTACCTCTTTTTACCTCAGATATTGAAATTAATGAAGAAATACTAAGGAATTTTATTTGATGATTCTACATATCCAAATCGCGAATAATTCAATATTTAACTAAGATGTGAAAAAAATTTCCACATTATATGAAAAATTTTAAAGCGCACGGAAAATAAACGTTGAAAAAGGTTTCTCTGTTTGTTTTTAAAAATAAAAATAATATGCAAAAATCTTTCATTTAAGTTTTTTTGTTAGAAAGCACTGAGAAAGAAAAGATTTAATAATCTTATTAAAAAATATGTTGGAAGGAAAGAAAGTCTTAAGTAGCCCAGATGTTTCTATGTTTAAATCTTATGTGAAGATTCTCTCTTCGTTTACTCGTTCAGCTTTCATAAAACTTGTGCTTTTCGCAAACAATTTAGAAGTATCTGATCATAAGTTTCTCTTCTCGACATTTAAGTAAAGATCTTCCAAACTTACAATCTAAATTTGCTTTTCACAAAAATCCGCTTGCATGCATCTGCTTGCATTTGATTGCTATTTCGTGTATCTTACTACATAGGTAGTATTTTCGATACCTGAACTAGTATATACTTTTAGAATTTATTATTAAAATGAAACAAGTATATGATATTTGATGAAAGCGAAAAAGAAAGTTATATAGTACATTCTAGTACAAGAATAAAAACACATCTCTTACAAAACTTCTTTTTAAAAAATAACGAATTAAAAAAAAAATTATCAGAGCAGTGTTCGGAAATTCAGCTGTTTAATCGCATTAGAAATGAGTCCTGGCGCCGAGCCAAAATCTCGTCCAAGCACGTTAACGTGCGACAAAATTTTCCAAGTTTGACTATGACATGAGATAGATGTACGTTGCACCTACGCGTATCCGTTGCACCGGCCAGGAAGTAGTCACCAGATCGTCGGCGCGGAACGCCACGCACGCGTTACCCTTACGGTAAATTTATATTTTCCGCAGTTACTATGTTCGGACGATCCTTTATGGCTCACATACGCGCTGTATTTACTCCTGCGGATCGACGCGTCACGATTACTTCATAATTCGTCGATATACACGCGATATACTCAAATGTGATTAACGCTTAGAAGTTTGTTAAATAAATAGAAATTGAATTATCTTTATCAAATACAATACAAGATATAATAATATTTCATGCACACAAAGTAATCTATAGCTTTAAAATTGGACAAGACGTCGTACAAACAATTTATATGTAATATACATCCATGACTTAAAAATATTTTAAGTAAATTTGTAAATTTTAAATTTTAATTCAAGTTTAATTACAAGTTTTAATCTTAAATTCTGTAATTCTAATTTTTTTCTTAATTTTTTTGCTTGATTCTTAATTAATTTAATACATCACTCATACATTTGTTCCACGATGATTAACTATATTTAGGAACTTTTTATCAGTAGTAAAAAAATGATTGAAGGTTTATTTCATATTCTCTGAAAAATATCTAGAAAATATGTGTGTGTGTGTGTATGTGCGCGCGCGTGTATGTGATTATCTGATCATATCATATTCTCTTCTAAAAAAATTTATTAGAACACATAAAAAATAAACTTATTTTTAAAAAACTTTTGTATATTAAAAGAAGTTAATATATCGAGAGAGAGAGAGAGAGAGAGAGAGAGAGAGGGGGGGGGGGGGTATGAAATATTTATGAAGAAGATTTAGTATTACAATTAGAAATAATATAGTATTACACTTTTATGTATAATATGTATAAATTAAAGAGGCTATTAAATCATGCAGAAAATTACTATCCGGAAGTTGTCGATGCAAAACGGACGTGCCGTGGACACACGAGAAAGCGATAAGTTTACATTTTGACACATGTCCGCTGCTACAGATATAGCGAGCTAATTAGAGAATCGGGAGTACGCTTACAACCGGATACAGCAGGATGTGACATCGGGTCAGGATTATCCGGATAAGCGTCGCGACTGTGCAGTGGCGTGAACGACCCCGCGCTCTCTCACTCTTTCATAATAATCATAATTTTCCCATCCGGTGAACTATAATTACCCGAACGTGTACGCGATTCCGTCTCATAGTGTTCGCCTTCCGCAACTGCAACTCCGCTCGAAATCACAACGCGCCTTTTGCCTGGTGTAATTGTAGCTGCGGTCGCAATTTATGGATGTCAATTTCTGACGTTCCCGCGACAACTTACTCTCTCATGAATTACTCTCTTTTCTTTGCATATGGGATCGGTGAATATCGATTCACGGCTGAAAATATCGCGCACAAGATACAACTTTGTTGAATTTTGCCATCCATTAAAATTTTTTTCAAGCTGAATAAATAACCAACTCTTAAATAAAATGATTGATCGCTCAGATATCTACTATAGCTATCTATATATAATTCCTGCAAGGAAGTTGACGTTATTTGTCGTCATTTTGACGTCGATTCCATCGATTGTAAACAGTGTTTTATTGAAATATATTTTCATATTAAAAGTTAAAATATTTTGTAAGAATTTTTATTGTGTATCTTTTCGCTTCTGACATCACAATCTGAAATAGTAGTAGTGAATAAATAGGAGCTTTAATAAAATAAACATGTAAAATAAATAAGCTAATGATGTCTTAATCAAA